ATCTTTGGGGTGAACCAGCCTTTGCCGTAATGTGTTTTGGGGTTTGAAAGCTACTGGGACATCATGTTTAGAAAATAAACGTCTCTGATGAATTCAATGCCTTTTAATACTTTTTCAGGATTCACAAGAACTCTGAAGCTCCACCTGCAATAACTGACTCCGCCTTTAACCATCCTCATATAAGACAACTTCAAAAACAAAAGTAATCTTTTTAAAAAATAAATATATGTTACTAGATAAAAGAGATATTTCTTCCATTTAAAGATGAGCTTGGTGTAAAGGTAATATATACAGGTTGGTTTTAGTTATACATACAAATTAAAGTGTTATAACTAAATCAGATGGATGGAAGTGTGCACCTTGTGTTAGTACAGTCTAGTTTATAGACAGCATATAGTGGTAAGTACAATGTGAATACTGTAGTAAAATCTTAAATCAGGAGACAATGTGGAGTGGGGTTAACAAGTACAGCTGTGTATTATGATACTTAGCATTTATGCTTGAAAGACAAAACCTTTAAGTCTGAGTCTAAAAAATATAATTTGAACACCTTCCCTTCCTCACCACCCCAAAAGTCAGAGCTTTCTGACCAACCCACACTTCAAAATCAGTTCAATTGAATTGTTTGTTTATCTAGCTCCAATTTACAACAAGTCATTTCCAGGTATACAAACACATACCATAAATCTAAGGCACAGGCACATCCGTTGTGTCATGGCCTTCTGTGCTCCAATGCCAAAATTATTCCAAGAAGCACTTCTGATTTGATTGTTTGAAAAACATATATCATTTATTTCTAGCAGTCTTTGTCAGAACCATCATTGTTTGTTTCATCTTCATTGTCTTCTTCATCTTCAACGTCCTCTGAGATTTCTTCATCTTCTTCTTCTTCATCTTCTTCTTCTTCGTGGTCTTTGTATTCTTTGCATTGACTTAAAAAAGGTTGATTGTGGACCCAGCTCCTCGTCAAACGTTGAGATTTTTTTCCCTTCAGGTCTCCTTTTCGTTTTTCTTCTTCTGAATCCTCATCTTGTCCTTCTTGTTCTTCTGCGCKGTCTTGATATTCCTCACTCTGGCTTGAAAAAAGTTGATCAAGAATCCGTCTTGCAGCAAGACGTTCAGAGTTCATGG